TGACAGAGCAGAAAGACAAAAGCTGTTGGTCCTGAGGCTGATGGATCCCACTCGTGTCTGACACCAATTAGCGCTGATGAACGTCTGTGCACGCTGGGCACTCATGTGCATGTCCCCTGGAGAGGAGAAGCCCAGCTCCTCATCGGAGGGTCCTGCTGATCCCTGGCCCCGCCGCTCGCTCAGGAGGTGGATTTGGATTTCCTCCCATGGGATGTACCCCCGGACAGACCCTGATCCACACCCCACATCCACTTGTTCCATCGGRAGCTCCTTCCCAGCCGGCCCTTGGCGGGTGACTGATTCTCCAGAGCAGCAGCTTTACGAGCCATTGCACATCTCTGTGCTGCTCATTACCACTGTTTATTGTTTTACAAGGGACCAGAGCTCTGCTCACATCCCACGGCTGGCCCGCGAGAGCTGTCGAGCTCTGTGGTGCCGAACTAATTTCCAAAGATCAGGATTTTCAGGGATTTATTCACTCTAGCTCCTTGGGCTCTGCTGTGGTGGCTTCCCAGGCAGTGCCAAGATCAGGACCCCAAATTGGGCTCGTGCTCCAGCCATGGTCGGACTAGTGTGAATAATTTTGGGACAGAAATAGCCAAGTGTGCACAGATAACAGAGGCATCTGTGACATTTACACCCTTGCTTTTTAAACCCCAGCCACAGTCTAACCCTTCCCTGTCTCAGGATACATCAAAATACCTCAGATATTTCCAAGCTGAGATATTATATTCCTAAAATATTTGATGCCGCTGAGGTGKGTCTGAAAAGCATCTAAAACATACAAAGTAGCCTGAAAACACATTTTAGGGAGGCTGGGCATTTGCTCTGCCCTCCCTCTATCGCTGTTTCAAAGGCTTTTTGAACATCCAGCTCTTCATCCTGTCTCAAAGTCCTCATGGGTGATTGCTGAGCTGGGGACTTTCCTGCACTCGGCCCTCTGCTCCCAAAACCTTGGCTCATGTCAGTCTTGGCACAAGGAAAATTAATTTCCTGGCCTCAACCCAGTGCAGGCTAATTAGGACCTGGCACAGTCGTCCTTTTATGTGCGGGATGGGGCAGTGGGGGCCCATGGCAGTGACTGGGGATGCCCATGGGGACATGCCAGGTATTACAGAAATGTTCTGCTCCAGAGGAGGGCACTGAGACCCCTTCCTTTGGAACAGACCCCATCCCATCCTCCTGCTGCCAGTGGAAGTGATGTGATGGCTGTGATTTTGCTGCCAAATGTGGGTCCTCCTCTTGGACACTGCCAGTGCTGAGCGTTGGGAAAGACATTTTCATTGCCTTTCTTTGGGTTTCAGAGAGAGAGAAGGGGTTCATGAGGCAGTTTGATGGGGGAAGGAGGGCTCAGGCTCTGCCCCTGTGCTGCRTGTGCTGAGACCTCGGTGTCTGCCCAGCTCCATGGTGTCCAAACCCTCCTGGGGAGCTGGAGGCTGCTCTTAGGGATTCGAACACCAAGAAGCAGAGAGTTAGTAAAAGGCTGGGCTCTCCAAATCTCTTGAGTGCTTTGCAGGGACAATATTTGTRATGAGAGGCTGGAGGGAGCTACAGGTGGGAGCTGCCCCTCAGGACGGACTGGAGAAGTGGAGGAGCCAGAGAGGATTCCTCTCTTGGGAGGAGAGATGGAAAATTAAATATCCAGACAAAGGGAAGAGGTTGCAGTTGTAAGAGTGGGCTTGGCAGTGTGAGAAAGGGAAGAGACAAAAGCAGTCTCCGAGCAAAACGCTGGAATTTAACTTTCACAGCTGCAAAAGGAAAACAATGACTTCCCACACAAAACTAAGTGATGGGCTGCGCTGATGAGGAGATGTCTGAGGAATTTCAATTAAAAGCCAGCGACACTGACAAAGGCGATGAGATTGAAGTGTTCAGAGGTAAGTGAGCGATGGGGAGGGAAGAACAATAACTGGTGAGGGAGGGAGCAGTGCCTGCTCAGCGCTGCGTGGGCTGCGCCCTTCCCSAGGCAGCAGAGCCCTCACCCGCCGTGCCTGGCAGGGAGCTGGGATCCAACTCCAGCCGTGTCCCATGTCYTGTGTGCCTCCCTCTGCTCCCTGTGCCCCTCCACGGGGACAGCTGCAGCGGGGCTGTCCCTTCTGTCTGACATCCCTGGGGGATAGCTGCTCCTCTGGAGYATGGAGCTGAGCTCTCTGTGTTTGCCTGCCAGCCCCATGAGCCCCTGGCTGCCATCCCACACCTCTGTCCCTGTGATGCCCACTGCCTCCAGGCTCTTCCCCTACAGCCACTCKGGAGCCAGAGCTGTGTGTGCCCTTGGCAAAGGAGCGGAGCAGGGAGTGGGGAGAGCTGGCAGTTACATGGGATTGGCAGTCACAGAATTGTTTAGGTTGGAAAAGGCCTCTAAGCCCATCCAGTCCAACTGTCCCACARCGCTGCCAAAGCCACCACTAAATCAYGTCCCCAAGTGCCACATCCACACGGCTGTTAARTCCCTCCAGGGATGGGGACTCCAGCAGTGCCCTGGGCAGCTGTGCCAGGGYTGGACAGCCCTTTCCAGGAGGAAATTGTTCCAAATATCCACTCTGCCCCTCCCCTGGCCCAGCCTGAGGCTGTTCYCTCTCCTCCTGTCCCTGTTCCCTGGAGCACAGCCCGACCCCCCCGGCTGTCCCCTCCTGTCAGGGAGTTGTGCAGAGCCACAAGGTCCCCCCTGATCCCCCTTTGCTCCAGGCTCAGCCCCTTTCTCAGCTCCCTCAGCTGCTTCTGGAGCTCCAAACCCTTCCCCAGTTCCGTTCACTTCTCTGGGCACCCTCCAGCACCTCCATATCATGAAGGGTCCAAAACTGACACCAGGATTTGAGGCAAAGCCTCACCAGCACCCAGCACAGAGAGCCAGAGAAGCCCCCAAGCCTTGGCTGGTGGCACAGCAGCAGGTGACAGCAGAGGCACAACGAGCAGCACATGGAAAGAGCCCGCACCGCTTCTCCTGCAGTCACCATGCAAGGAAGATGAATATTTTCCAAGCTGGCACAGCTGACATCGTGCCTGATGGGAATAGCTCGTCCTTGCAGCCCRCCTGCTGGAGAGACGGCTCTGCTCCATCCGAGCTGGCACCAGGAGCTGGGACAGGAGGAGAGCAGGCTGGGCAGACTCCTGGGCTGGATGGATAGAGCCCRGCCAGGCCCGGGGAATGGAGCAGCTGAGGCCGGGCAGCTGTGGCACGAGCCAGCTTTGGAACAACCYGGAGCAGCGGGAGGAGGCAGGGAGGGATGGCCTCGCACCGAAATATCTCGCTTGGCTCCGAGCACGGCATGGAACTTCTGGCACACAGAACCCTGCGAAGCTCCATGCCAAAGAAAACAGCCAGATTGAAAGCCCTGGGGCGCAGTGTTTGTGCAGAGCAGCTGGGCAGAGCACGGYGCTCGGCCCCGGGTGGGCTCCTGGTGTCTCCAGCCCTGCGCAGAGCTCTGCTCCCCGGTGGGGGTGGCTGAGCAAAAGGCAGGTGCCATCCCCATGGCTGCTGGCACAGGTGGCACTGGTGGCACCATCTGCCTCTCCGTGCTCACATTTATCCAGCAGCACAGCAGCCCTCTTGGGCTGACCACMCTGATGGGGATGAGCTGCTTTTCTGCCTTTAAGAACAAATTTACATATATGGAGATGACTCGGAGTAGCAGCCAGCCACCGGCAGGGCCAGCMGCGCTCAGAGCCCTGCCAGATGCCGCAGCCCTGCTTCCCCGAGGCACGCCGTATCTCCAGGCGTCTGTTGTTCCATTAAGCTATTTTTAGCAAATATATCCCCCTTAGTTCAGCTGCCGTTATCTGATTAGTTCCTGTAACTACACGAGGAGCAACATCTCCAGGCGTGACTGCGATGCTGAGCAGGCGGAGCCTCTGCACACGCCTTTCCTACAGGAGAAAAACTTGCTGGAGATGCTGCTCGCCGCGGTGCTCTGAGCTCCGCCGAGGCTGGGTTTGGGGGCTCGGGGTGGCGGGGATCAGCCCTGCGGCAGCCACCGGAGCACACGACCTTTGGTACAGGCGGAGCCACCCGGGCGCGCTTCCCGGCTGCTGCCGGTGATAAGGAGCCATCTCCTCCGGCGTTGCCCTGATGCAGCGGCGATAAACAGCTGGCATTGTTTGCTCCGGAGCGCGGGGTTGTTGATGGAGATGCCCATCATCATCGGCAGGGAATGGGAGCGGGGCAAAGTCCTTGTGCAGCAGGGTGCRGGGGTGCCCTGAAGGTGCGGGGTACCAGCGCTGTGCACCCCCTTCTTTCCAGCAGGTACCACCAGCAAAAGCCACACCACGGCCTTGGTTCAGGGTCTGGTTAAAAACCTGCAGCCCACGGAAGGTTCCAGCACTGCACTTTGTTCCGAGGCCTCAGCCTCTATTGACTGCAGCTGTCYTGGAAAATCAGATTATAGTGCAAAACCGTGGCATTCAGTCTGCTCGGCCGAGGCAGGTCTTCCATCTCCTGGCTGGATCGTCAGGACCGAGAGCACATGAAGGGGAGCGGGACAGCTCACTGCACTGTGACAGCTTTTCCTTCAGCCTCAGCTGTGTTGGAGGAGCGCTGCAGGCCCAGAACTCCTCAGCGTTCCCTGGAGCCTGTGACAGCCATGCCCATGCCCAAGACTCGGGGTGGAGAAGGGGGATTCCACCGGGAACCATGCACAGGAGCTCCTGAGCTGGCCCATCTCCCTTGTCCATGGTCAAATCCATCAGAACCCTGCTGCCTACTCCTCCTCTAACAYCCTAGGTGCTTCAGGGCCCTTGAACAGGATTAACTATAGATTTAAATGCTCCCAAAGGGAAAATCTCCTCCATGCCCATAGTGAGAATGATCCCTCAGCATCACCACGGCTGTCACCCGAGCTCTGGCACTAACCCTGGGCTCTCTGGGATGCTGATCCCTGCCATGTCAGCACTGTCACTTGTTCCATCTTCACCATGTCCCTGACTTCTCCCAGCAGTGATTTATTTCAYGTTCCTGCTTCGCTGTGCCTGTCCAGGCCTCCATCTCCAGCCAGGCTGAGGCCGTGATGCTGGAACACGTCACAGAGCTGAAGAYATTTATTCCAGCTGAGAGACCGCCAGTGCCTCAGGCGACACTCGTGAGCAGAGAGAGATGTCAAGTGTTGCTCACTGAAACCAGTTGCTGAGACAGACTGAGAGTAAGGTGGGCTCYCGGTACCGCAGCCCGTGCTCCATCCCACGGTGGATGGAGCCTCAACCCTGTTCAACGTTCCCTTTCCACCCTCGAGGGATGCTCCAGGCAGCTGAGGGTCCATGTCTGCCTCGAGTGGACCCCCACCCACACCGTGCTGGCCTGTGGCCGACGCGATCAGGGGAACCGGCTGCAGGACAGACCCCAAACGAGGCTGGGGAGCTGCACCCCCGCCCCGCTGTGCACCCGGCTGCGGGGCCGCTGCGTGCGAGGGCGGCATGGGGCATCCGCACACACCGACGGCGGGAGGTACCGCACACACCGGCGGCGGGAGGTACCGCACACACCGGCGGCGTGGGGCCGTGGCGGGAGTGAGCCCCCATTCGCGGTTCCCTTCTCTCCCGCAGGGCGGCCGGCGGTGCCTCCCGGTGTCCCCCGGTACCCGTTCCGCGGGGCTGGCGTGGGGAGCGGGTATCGCTGTGGGTGAGTGTGCCCCCCTCCTGGGCTCCCTGGGCTCCCTTGCCCCCCGCTCCCCCGCTCTCGCCCTGCGCGCTCCCCCGGTTCCTCCCGGTCCCTCCCGGTGCCGGCGCTGCGGGGCGCGGGGGGCGGGGCCAACTCTGAAGCCACGCCCCCTCCCGCCCT